AGGCCAAATTCATCACCTTCAGCATGTTGGTCTTTTGTAGTGTTTGGTTATTATTCGTTCCCGTCTATTTAAGCACAAAAGGGAAATACACAGTTGCTGTGGAGATCTTCTCCATCTTGGTCTCCAGTGCTGGTTTACTTGGCTCCATCTTTGGCTCCAAGTGTTACATTATATTATTCAGACCCAACCTAAACAATAAGGAGCAACTAATAAAGCGGAAATGTTGATGAAGTGTCTTATCTTTGTTTTTCAAATGACCGCTAGCTGAATTCAGAACGTGAATTAATGTGTGTGTGTGTGTGTGTGTGAACACTTTGGCCCGTCTGTCTAAACTTTAATTTAAGGGGGAGGGCAGGTGGCAGGATTATTGACCTTACAATTTGTATGAAGCGTGTACATCCTACGATCTACATATGTAAGATAATTTCATGGAATTTTAGTATGTAGTTTTGAAAGTTACTTTGGTCTGTCCTCTAGTTTCTTCAGGATGAGTAAGAATTGAATGACTGATTAGGAGACTGAGATGTGTTGCTGCAGTTGAGTTCCTGTGGAGACCACTCTGTTTTCCTTATGTCTGGCCATTCTTATTCACCTACTCGGCTCTGATTTCTCCTATGGTGCTTCATTGCCTCCAAATCTCTGCCAAGAGTGGATTCCATTCTCAATGTCTACTGACTATTGCAAGAACTGAAGACCTAGAACTGGTTTTTGCAATCCAGCAGAATGGAAATGTTCATCATAAATATCTACTGTTCTTCAGCCAGTGTTGTATGGGGCTGAGAAGAGTGAGCTTCCACTGCACATCAGAGAAAATGCAGGGCAAATAAAGTGCATATGGTCTGAATTTATAAAATATTGAGGGAGCATTATGAAATATTGTTCATCAGCTATAATGGACAGTATAGGTTTTTAGGTGATGCAGGGCACCAACCTCACTGCTGTATAGAATTTTACATTCTGACTCTATGTGCCTATGGCACTTGATAATGCCTCGTGTTTGTCTACAGTCTGCTGGTATAGGTGGGACAGCTGAGAATGCAGTCTCCTCCATCCTCAGTTGGCTGAGTTAGTGATATAAAAGAAGCCTAATATTGAAGAAAGCAAAGCAGCACAAAGAATCAACACATTTCCCTTTGATGCTTCTTTCTCATTAACACCTGTCTTTCCAGTCTTTTGATTTTAAAATGTGGAAGAGGAGAGGATGCTTTTTAGATGAGACATTGAATCTTTCTCTGTTCATGATACTAAGCCAAAGGAGTCAAAAGCAAGGCAATTCTCAACAAGAAAAACAGTGCCAAAGAGTGGTTAATGCCCAATACTGCAGATTTTCCTGGGAAATGGCCTAATACTTATAGCATCAATATGCTAAAAGACCTTTCAGCATCTTATAGCCTGGGCATTTGCTCTCAAGCTGATTTTTTTAGAAGATCTGGTCAAATATCATTTTAGGATTCCATATTTAGAAAGTTATTCTAAACCATTTTACAATTTCCTACCAGAGATTTGTGGCTGACTGTGCAGTGGCAAATATATACTGTGCTTATGTCAATGAATAATGTCTTAAAAATGAAAAAAAGAAAGTTCATGTCTAAAATTCTCATGGAAAAATGAGTTTTCAGCATGTTTGAATAAAATATATTTTTTTAAAAATGAAAGGCACCAGAATTATCTCACAGGAGCTCAAGTCTCACATTTTACTGTTACACAATTTTGAAAGAATATAAGAAATAGATGACACAAATATAAGAAACAAGTATGGGTAGAGAAATACATTTGATAAGCACCAAATATGAATTGTCATATATTTTACTGCATCACTAAAAGCTTATATATTTCACATCCATTAAATTAAATTGTGTCCCTGTTTAAAACTAAAACCTGAAGCCATTCACAAATTCAAGCCATTCCAAAAAATATATTGATAGCAGTAGTTTAAATTATACATTAAAGATCTGAACTCTAAAATGTTTCAGTGTGGTACAATACCATGAATAAGAGAATAACTCCAGAATGTTTTCCAATTTGAATACTATGTTGGATTTGTGAAATTATTCTAGACACCAGCTATATTCCCATGATTTAGTATATGAATATGAAAGGTCATTCTTCAAAAAACAGAATCCAAAATTTTTCAATAAGAATATATTGAATCCTTGCTGCTGTTAATGTTAACAGAGATAGTTCAGTGTATTTTGAAGGACCACACGGTTTATGAAATTTTTCAGATTGGAATGGAATTGTAAATTTCAGCATGTATCTCATTCTGTAATGAATATACAGCATATCACAATATCTGTAAGGGTTACATTTTCATTTACAATTATTAGAAAACTCAGCTTTCATCCTCTTGTTAAGGGAATATGGTTTTGAATTGTCCATATATTCCAAAGTTTTAACAGATTAGTTGGTTTATTACTCCCTCCCTGAGCTTTTCAACAAATAAGGTTTTTGCCAAGCCCTTATGACTCAAGTCCTTCCTGACTCCATTATTATTTTTGAATAATTCCTTATTTTCCCTGGTTGCTTTTTATACTTATTCAGCAATTGTGTGTTCCATCTCCTACTAACTAGAACAAATGTGCAGGCCTGAAAAAAGGATCATTTGAATGGGTGCAAACAGAACATATGACTAAAATCAAACATAGCCATAATTGGAGAAGTGTTTTTGTTGTAGACTTTGCATCATCATAGCGTCGACACGTGATGTATCACAACTTTCTCCCCCTTCGCTAAACCAAGTGTAGGCTTGGCCAGCACATGATGCACCCAGCCCACGGGTTGCCAGTTTAACAGCCCTGTTGTGAACTAACAAAAATAATCCCCTCTTCCTTTACATCACAAGGAAATAAATTAATATTGTTCACATCTCCTGATACATTATTTTCAGAATACTTGTATGCCTCTTTTTTTCTTGTTTGTATACAAAAAAGAAAAAGAAAAAATAACCACAGAAGTTGCTATAAGAAGTCAGACAAGGGAAGATTACATTTTAAAAAAGCTAATCAAGAACATCAGCCAGCCTTGTATAGTGTTTAAAAATCCCTGGGAGGTATGAGCATGAAGTGATAGTATTTTGCCAAATTTGCAAACAAGCATTTTCCTCAGTAACTATGATCATGATTTGATTTAGATTTGGAAGTCAGAATGGGAAAGGGAGTGAGGAAGAGAAATTATAAACAATTAATGCAGAAAGAAACAAATTTCAGGTTTAAAATAATGAATCTCTAGTGTTGAAGGGGAGAATGTTACTCAGTTTCAGCCTAGGAAGTGGGCATACCTGTCAAGGAGAAAACAAACCACCCATATGGTCCCCAAAACTTCTGTGATTGAAAGGAAAATCATTATTTTATATAGTTTCAAATAACCCAGACTCAAGTCATAAACAAACTTAACTTCTGTAAACATTTAATAATGTAGGATCAGTCCTAAAACACAAATTCAGAAGCATACAATATCAAAAAGCTGAGTCCGAGTTGCCTAAGAGCATTGGGAATCCTGAATTTTTTGTTTAATGATATTAAATTTCTGTCAGGTTTCCTTTGGAATATTAATAGCTTTGAACCTTATGCTTACAATTAATTTACTTGTTCACAAATCAATTATTATGAATACTCTTCTGCCATGTCATTCCAAGGAAATCAAGCACTCTGAAATAACTGAAATTCTATTTCCTGGAGAATTAGAATAAGCATTACATTACTCTCAGATGTGGAAAAAAGCAAACATTAATGAAACGAAAATCCATTTTATTAGAAATACAAGACACACATTATTTGAAAATAGTGAACAATAATTAGCATTGTAAATAAGAAGAGGAACAGGGAGCCACGCTCTGGGACTTGCTTTATACAGATGTTTTTTCTTGTGATTTCCGATTCTTAAGATGTTTTTCTCTCAGAAATTTAAATAGTGATGTAGCAGCACCAAATCTGATGTAGAGAATTATTGAAATAAATAAATAAATATCCACTGTTCTCTCATACATACCATGGGATTCAGATTGCAAATTTGCAGTGTACCTGTGTATTCCTGTGATATGGTGATTAGATATTATTTGGCAAGTAAATAGCTGAGTTACTATGTATAGCAGCTTTTAAAAAATGTTTGCAAATGTTTTATCTACTTATAAATTTCACAGGGTGATTATGGTCTTTGTATATATGTAAACAGATCTGTGAATGGAAATGTTATTTTTGTTTGTTTCTAAAAATTGGAGAGAGAAGGCTTTGTGACAGCTAGTCAATAAATATCCTATTCTAACCAATTTTTGCTGATAAGCAATTTATCTAATAGAGAAGGCAGAACATGTGTACAGACAACAATAAGAATACCACAACAACATTCATAAATGTTATAATCTGGAGATGTACTAATTTTCAGATGTTCCTGCCTTCTTAAATTCAGGGTGGGAACAGAAGAAACAAAATGGATACCTCCATTAATACTACCCTGTATTGACAAATATTATCAATGCAGACCAAAAGCAGACCCACCTGACTGTTTTCTCTCATGTAGATCAGAGTTTTATTGTGTGAAAGGGTAATCAGAGAGTAACTTATTGCACAAAATCCCTGTTGCTTATTATTTCATGATTGCTAAAAGAAAAAAGTCAAACCATCAGATTGATCGAGACAGTGTAAACTGGAGAGTACATGGCAATACTGCAGTACAGATATCTTAATGGGAAGGAGTGAAAGAGGACATTGAGGCAGGGAGAAAAGAGAAAAGGAAAAAAATAGATGAGTATCAGAAAATAAAATGATTAACATTAACATCCAAGTACCTGAAGTAGACTGTAGTCATACAAAAGCTCAACTAGTCTTAAGATTCACAAGTAAGATTATTATGAATATATCAATTATGTCTTTAGAGCCCTTGGCCATTGAAGCAGGATCATCACCAAGATAGGACTATAGGGTAAAGTGTCCTGAAAGACTTTCAAGCACAGAGTAGCTAATCTTTTATATGTTGCAGAAATTGAAATAATACATATTATATAATGGCCTCTACATCTGTAAAGCTCACAAACCAAAATGATTTCATTGCAGGATTGCCAGAGCACTGAGATGAATAAAGCCAAAAAGGTAGATGGATGTAGAAAGATTGAGAAATGGAATGGAATCAACAGAGAGACAGAGGACAAAGAGAAGGAGGGTAGAAAGAGGAAAACACAGTCTCTATGAAGGCTCAAACAAAAACAGGTAAGCATGAAGAATCAGTGCAAAGGAAAAGAAATGTACTAAAAAGAAAGAACGAGCAAGTGTCCATGAACAGAGAAGAAAGTGAATAAGCAAAAGACAGAAATTTTAAAGCAAAGATCAGGAATTGGAAGTAAGCAAAATGGGTAAATTCGAAAGTCCACAAGAATTTGGCCATTCAACAAGGCTTATTTCATTAGTATGTAAAGATGGGGAGAAAGAGGAAATATGAAAGATAAGAAAGGAGAAAGGAAGAGAAAGGAAAAAAGAGAAGAAGGAGAAAGAGAGGAAAGGAAAAGAAAGGAAACTGAGCAAAAGCAAAGAGAATGTATTGGGTTAGAGAAGGAGAAATAGCTTTGAATATTCAAGAGAAGCAGAAAGCAAAAAATGAAAACAGAAGAGTGAATAGAGAGTAAGTTGTTTTTGTTGACTAAATTCACATTCACTATTAAGTTTATGCTAATTCTATTCTCCACACTTAATCAAAATTTAATTCAAATCAATAGCATCCTTGTCACTGGTGCTGGTTCCTCCCTCCCCCACCCCAATTGTTGCCTTACTAAGGGAGATAATTAAAAAATGGAAACAGACTAGGAGAACACGAACAAGGAAATAAAAGAGAGGAAGCAAAAGAGAGGAAAAAAAGAATACTAATTCTAAAAGTAGTTCTTACATTGTAGGAAAATGTTGAGGACAACCCCTGGGAAAAAATGGAAGATAAACGAACAGAGTGCAGATGGTTGGGCAATTAGAGCTAGAGTAAAAAAGGAAAAAGCACAGTATCACACAATATTAAAAAGCACCGTTCAATATAAATGTATGAATGCAATTACAGACAGAAAATGATCAAAACAATTTTGAAAATATAGATTTAGACAAGGCTGGTTTTATTAAGGAGATGATTTAAAGCAGATGACTGGACCATCATGAGTGAAAATCTTGGGGGGAATCAGTGCAGAATTAAATAAGTGCAGGATGTAGGGAAGATGGAGAGAAGAAAAGGCAGGCAAGAGAAGAAACTACCTGGGCTTTATATAGATTCTATATATAGGAACATTCTAAATGCAAATAATTTTCTGAGTATTAACAAAATACTTTAGTCCTGATGCAGCAATGGTAGCTTGATAATAGCACAAAAGCCACATAGTTACAGAGCAGAACAGAAATATCCGCTTGCAGCTGCTTCTCAATGAAGTGACAAAATTGATTAGAACATCCGTAGACAAATCATGACAAGCAAATGGTGGAAAGGCTTTATGGAGAGAAGAAAGAAGATATGGCAAGCAAGACAAGTGTGCAAAAGAAGAAAATACATACACAGTATTGCATAGGTAAAGACAGCAAGCAGTTAAGTTAATATAGGCACAGAGAACAGGAAGTGAAAAAAAGTGATGGCCTCAGTAAAGACAAGATAAACGTTAGTACCAACTACAAGACCAAATTAAAATATCACAGCAGTCAAGCAGCAGAGGAGGGACAAAATAATGTGAATAGAAAAAAGATAATGAAAAAGAAGAAGGCAAAAATGGGAAGAATGATACTTATTGGGCTATGAAATGTAACACCTTTAAAATGTGTTGGGACTACAATTCCAGTTCTCATTTAGCAAAGGGGGGATGGTTTCTAGAAATGTGAGTTGTATTGCAAAGCACACACCCATTGCCTTGCTGTTAGCTTCTGGATTGCATCTTTCAAGGGGAAGAGAAGCAGGAGATACATGTAAGAGTGCACATAATGCTACTGTTTTTTTTTTTTATAATATGAAAAGATTAAGGAAATTGAAAAACAAGGATGGGGAAGGAGATATTGAAAAAAACCTCACTTTGATCCAAGAGTAGGACTGGGAGAATTCCTAATGATTAATCAATATCGGCTTCCCTGGAATTTGTTATTGCTATTCCATAAAAGGTGGTCACTCTTTTGTCTTGTACTGTCCAATCAGGGAAGTCCTTCTCAGAGCTGCTGTGAAAGTGTAAAGGAGGGAGGAAAGGAAGGGGGAGGAAGAAAGAAAAAAAGAAAAAAATGAGGAAAGGAAGGAAGAGACAGAGGGAGGGAGGATGGATCCTTGATTGTATCTTTTGACTACTTATTATATATCTTGGATTACTGATAGATGGACAGATCCTCAAACCACAAAGAGAAAAAAAGAAACTGAAAACAAACACAACTCAGAGAAAGAGAAGAAAAAAAAGAATGCAAAAATATGTGGCAGGCAGGGCCAGCACAGCAATTACAATCCAGACAAGATGGAAATTTCTTTGCCTAGTCGACCCTCTCATTTGTGAGGAATAATGGTCCCTACTAAACAGAATGTAAAGGAGAAGCAAGTATGATAATTCATTTTGCTTTGCTCTCTTTTTCCACATTCTGCTCTTTCAAGACTTCTCCAGCTGGCTTACTTCAATACAGGAACAGAATCAGAGACAAGGGAAGAGTTCAGCAGGAAAACATGAAGATAAAATGGTGGATTATTATTATTATTTATTTATTTTTGCTCTGCCTGCATGATAACAAATGCTTCTTCTCTCTCTCTCTTTACATCACAAAGGTTTAGATAAAGTAAAAAGCCTAGCTTTTTGGAGAAGAAAAAAAGAAGCAACAAGAAGAAAATTGCAGAAGAATAGCAAGCATTCAATGGCCAGCTAAGAGACTAGAGGGGTGTAAGATTCAGCCTAAGCAAGAAAAAGAAGAAAGATCAGTGAGTCAGTCACCAAACATGTCTTGGTAAAGTCTTTTTTTTTTTTGCTCCTGTGTATACCAAATCCCCATTATACTGCCTCCATCTTGTCTCCAGGCTATGAGTGAGGTTGGCTTAAACTGTTTTCAGCTGAACTGGACGTAGGTCTTTCCCCATTGTTCAGTTGTAATGCTATCCCTCAATCTGTAAAGCAGCAGAAAGTTATATTGGCATAAAACGGGTTCTTCTCCTTGTCTGTCTCTATTCTGCCTGTTGCCTTTCTTCCTGCTCATGCCAGCCATCTGGCTTTCCTCCAAAATAACAACATGACAGATTTCCCAATTTGATGTTGCACTTGATGGGGCATCAAAAGTGGGGGAAGAGAACTTATTCATGGAGATGAACAAGGGGAAGAGATGAGGGCAAAGTCACAGTTTCAGCAAGCATAACTGCTGTAGAGACATTGAGACATGCATAGCAGCACCTAAGGTTCTCCTAAATGTATGTGTTTGAGATTTTTGCAGGGAAAAAAATTCCTTAAACACGTTTCCTCCCACTACCTTTTCTTACACGGAAAACAACACCAGAGCATAAGCATTCAGGCAGGAAATGTCCTATATTGCAATCTTTGCATGTCTTCAATTTTAAACCTTGTTAGAACTTACATAGACATATTGGATTCTTAACATTAGATTATAAATGCTCAAGTCAACAGGCACTTGATGCCTTGTTTGATCAAAAGCTTTAGAAATGGGACAAGAAGAAGATATGACCAGAGCATGTTGTGTTATGTTTAGGTGCAAGTAGGAACAGTAGGATCTGGCCAATGCATGCAAAATGCCAACCAACCACTGGCATGCATGCATGTCACTGTCAAAAGACTGCAAACAGATGCAAACAAAACAATAATGAGGCTTAAATAATCAAACATATATCTGGATTTCCATCACCATCTTCCTCCACTGGTGAAATTAAAAACCAGTCTGGCATACAGAAAACTAACTGAAATCTAGATAGATCTCATTTGATCGAGCCATAGGTACTTCCCAGTTTAGAAAGTGCCCAGTGTCACTTTATAGTATATAAATTTATATTTAGATATTTAGATAGATAGATATTTAGATAGATGATAGATAGATAGATAGATAGATAGATAGATAGATAGATAGATAGATAGATAGATAGAGATAGATAGATAAAGATTATGTATGTATGTACGTACACACACACACACACACACAAGCATTCTACACTGTGCATTTGCTAAATAAGGGGAACAAGGGAAGCAAACATGGGATCAAGAAAAGGGGAAGATTTCTGGAAAGAAAGAGAAAAGGCAAGAATGCAGAAGTAAAAAAGAAACAAGAAGAAGCTGAGCAAGAAAGAAGAAGCAGTGAGAGTTCAGGGAGAAGCTAGCTGGATAGCATATAGCAAAGCTAGAAAGAGAGAGAAAAACGTGCCACAAGTACATTTCCAGGGTTATTTAAATTTGGTGCAATACAAAATGACTTCTAGACTTCATTTTTAGATACTGATTGTTCCTATGGACTATAAGAAGAACCTGCTCCAAGACGAGAAGCATTTTGGCAAGAAAGGAAATGTTCAAAGTTCCTTAGCTCTAAAATGGATTGGAGCCCTTTGTTCTTGGATTACAACTCCCATTCAACCAGCATCACAAATTATGAATGCTGAGAGTTGCAGGCTTAGCAACAAGGTCCCAAGAGGAACAAGAGATAGTCTCATTCTTTCATACAGCAGTTAATATAGTTATAATTAGGTATATTGTAAGATACCAAACCTAAGAATTCACCCAAAAATGCATTCAGAAATGAAGCTGTAGAGAGAAAAGTTAGCTAGCAAGCAAGAAGGCACATGTGAAAAAATAAGCAAAGAAAGCAAAGAGCCAAACCAGAAAGAATCTGCAAGCAATCAAAGAACACACAGAGAGAAGAAACAGTGCAGCGAAGCTCCAAGAAGCTGAGGAACAAACCAGAAAGCAACACAGAGCCACAGCAGTTTGTTTGGTCTGATCTTCGTTATTACGCAAAGCACATTGTAAACGAAGCTTTGTTGTCCATGTGTTGTGTGAACTGAGCCAATTGTAGTTAGTTAAATAAACGGTGGCTAAGCAAACCATGGTTTAATTTGGTGGGTTAACCTGGGAACTGTGTGAGCCCTCAACTGGGGATTATAAGCAATAGATAAAATCCGAGAAAGGGGGAGGGGGGGCTGCTGCTGCCAATATGATTTTCTTCTTTATCTCTATTGGTGACAAAACACTACACTATACTAAAAGGAGATGGAAGGAGCCAGTCACAGTCACATATATCTTTTCATCCCTTTTAAAAAATTTCCTGGGGAGGCTGTGAGCCAAATAGACTTGTAAAAGAGAGGGTTTGAGGAAGAAAACTGCCAAACTGCTGTTCCCATTCAGAAGCTGACTTAATGAAAAATCTGTCCTTTTAAGAGGGGCTTTCATTCTGCAGGAGAAGAAAAATCTCCCTGGTTGCAGCAAAAAAAGGAGGGAAAATTCAGGCCATTTGCTCTCCTCCTTATAGCCAACCACCCATGTCTATTCTGTGCCTTGTCTAATTTAAACCTCAGCTGGAAAAGGAAAAGAAGCAAAAAAAAAAAAGTGACATGAATCTATGCACACAAACAGAAAGCATGAAGGCAAGGAAAGAGACAAAGCTATAGGAAAACAGTAAGAGGCAAAAGAGAGGAAAAAAGTATGATAGTAAATCATTAGAGGAGCAAAGCTATGGGGGTGGGAGGAAGCAAAGAATGAGGTGATGTGGCCTCAGAGTGAACAAAACTTAATGGAAAGCAAAGACATGCAAAGGAATTCACAACTATAACATTAGAGCAGATTGCAAAAGGAAACAGGTATCTATCAGTTATTCTCTTGGACAGCTATATCACAACAAAAAAGCATTTCTAAATGCAAGGACCCCCTTTTTCAAATTATCCACCCGATGCTCATTTATGCAGAAATAAATGTCACAGAGGCCTGTGGCATTTATGTTCCATTAATGCCTCTGAAACTTTATGAGTCTCATTTGCAAATCTGATCTGCCCATGTAGTAGTGGGAGGGCAGAATCCAGTGGACGGAAGGGGCTACGTGCTCCTGTGCTCATTTCAGCCTGCATATGGGAGGACACCAGGTATCAAGAGCACAGGAGGAAGAAACCTAACACAAAATATTTCTCATTCCTATGGATGTTCAGTTTTCTTTGCAGGGATTAAATTTTTACTTGAAATGCAGCAAATGTCCTGCAGCTATAGCCTAGTCTGTACTAGGATAGCCAGATATGAAAGAAGGAAGGGCTCCTAAGTTTATAATAAAGGTACCAGTAAGTTAAAACTGCAGTAGATTCTTGTCCCAGTCCGTTAACTCAAGATACAAAAGTCCCACTGTTTGGAGCCCAGTTTCTTTAATAGGAGTGACTGTCCTGGAGAATTAATTTTTCAGAAACACAGGCAGGGCTTCCAAGAGAAAGATCAGCCTTTCAACAGCATTGAGATGGAATAGATTCTAGGAAGACAGGAGATTTTAGTTCAGACTGCAATTGTACCAAGGAAAAGTTTTCTTAAACAAGGCGAGACAAAATATTAGTTTAAGGAAAGCATGTTAGAAGGGAAAATAGGTTGTGGAATCAAAAACAATAGCACTTCAGATCACATTTATAGCACTTCAGATCAAAGATACCCTCCAATCGCTTTTGGAGATAGTGAATTGGGTCAAGTAGAAAAAAGCCAACTTTGATTCTTTTAATCTCTCTTTCTCTCTCTGTACATATGTGTATGTTTGTGTGGGCGTAGTACACATAATTCTCAATCTGGTTATTGTTGTATTTTTCTTATTTGAGTTGCTGTGAGATACCCAGAGTAGTTGGGAGTTTACCAGAATACGAATTTGATTAATAATTAGGTCATTTCCTCTTATATTTATACTTACTAAGATTTCAGCCAAAATTGCCCAAGGCAACACACAGATATAGTAAAAAAACAGCATTTTAACAATGGCTTAATGAGAGACCATTCTAAAAAATGGCAATAGATTCACCCTATTTTATTACATTGGATTTCCTGTCTTCAAAAAAGCAGTGGAAAAGTGTGTATTAGCAGCCAATTCTTTTTAAACAGGGGCATGCATAAAGCTTTTAGGAAACACTTTGAGAAATGCTTTGCTTCTCACAGGTTACATGCTTATTTTGTTCTGCTATCACCATTGCCTAAACTGTTTTGCAGCTTTAAAAATAAAATTAACCTTTTCTCTGTTTTCATCCGTATTTCCCCAAATTAATGCCTATTTCTGATCTTAGCCTGCCCATTTTAGAAAGCCCCCTGCCACGCTGCCATCCCCTCTTCACCTCCCTGGTGGAAATGAAGAGAGCATCATTTTTAATAAGGGAAAGCACAAGAATGCAGCAATAGAAAAAGAGATGGAGGAAAAGAAAGAAGAAGAGGCGAGAGTAACAGAAATTAGCCAGATCAGGATTTTATTACAGTAATGTGGAAACAGCAGAAAGGAAAACAAGCATCTATATAGAGAAGTTTTTTTTCCCTGAGATATTGCACTGTGAACTTGAGAAGCACCGCAACATAAATTCAAAAATACAGTGAAGCAAAATTGCCAGAAACAGAAATAGATTCTGCTTTGGGATCAACAGCCCTTAAGAGAAAATGATGATTAAACATATTCCTTAAAAAAAAGAAAAGAAATGCATTTTAAAAAGTCCTTCCGTCCTAAAATAACATCCCTGCGTGTGTATATCTATATCAGCATATATGTCAGTAGATGCAAACTTCCCAAATAGTGATTTTCAAGTTTCCAATATTTCTAATTTGTTGATTTTTCCTATATATCCACAAATAAAGTATTTATTTGTATACCAGCTAAATTATTCATATTTTAATATAAAAATAACAACTCTTCCCCATTTGTTGTTCCACATTTCAGAATTGTTAAGAGTATGAGGCACAGTTCATACCAAAATATTTTAGAAATGTCTTTTTAAGTGCACAGATTGCAATGTACAAGTTTATATCATTGTCATTTCCAAAAAATGTTGAAATGATGGATATACAATGTATAATGCATACACTGTACATAGGCATGCTTTTCCATATACCATATAAATGGACTTAACTTCTGCAACAGGACCTGTCTAACTTTACGCAGAAGTATAAACCAGCTGATGGCATGCTGAATACAATGAAGCAATGACAAAATGTTTGAAGCTGACCCTGTTCGCAGTAAGGAAGCCTTGCCCTTAATATGAATGGAGGATGCATCTTATTGCCAGTATTAAAAGATGTTACTCCCAGCCCAGTCAGTTGTAAATAGAGAAATGGGAGCTGTTTGCTTTTCAACTCAGACATAAAAAAGGGGTTTTTGCACAGGAGAGATATTGAAGAACTATGAAAAAAGCACTGCCTGCTTGTTTAGTAATTGCCTCTTAGAAAAGGATATTTTCTCTTGAGGCAAGTAAAGTTGCATCATTCCTGCAAACAGAACTGTTTCTTCTACTTCCTGGCCATCCCAGACTGGTGGGTGGGTGGGCTGGAGAGAAAGGATATCTGAAACGTGTTGACAAATTTTCATAACTGAATAAAAATAGGGAACATTTGTAAGCCAAAAACTTGATTCTCATTTTTACCGAAAGAATCTTGTTTCAGCTACCCAAAGCAGATTGGAAATACAAGGGACACAGAAAAAAAAAGAGAGAGACGTGTGAGAGCTAGCATGGAGGAGAAAAATATAAAAGAGCATTCAAAGCACAGGAAAAGGATAGGCAATGAGGAGAGAAAGCAGAGAACTGCAGAAGAATCTAAGTGACATGGCAGCATATGGCCCTCCAGGTGGTCTTTTCCAGCCGATGGCCAGAGATGTCTGGAGCTAGAATCCAATAACCTCAAGAGAGTGGCATATTTTCCACTCTTTCTCCATGTCATCTCTAGAGATCAGCTGGGAAACTACTATCTTGTCTTCTCCCCCAGGAACTGTGGGAAATTTAACCCAAGAGAGTTTGGACTGACTATTTTCAGTCATTTCCAATAATAGTTCCCAAGTTTCATGGGAAAACTGGGTTAGTGTAAACTGTGTAAATCTATTGTTTTGACCCCACAGGCTTGGAAATCAATTATTTTACAGTGTTTGACTATTTGATCAGGTGAAACTGTAGTGCTCCCATCCTTATCTGAGGCCCTAACAATTATAAGAACCTCAATCCAGATTTTAAAAATGCACCAGATCCAGTACAAAGACTGGAAGCCTCTCTACTTATGGTTGAGAGAATTTTTGGATAGAGTTCAAGACATAAAATGGAGTTCCCAAGCCCCAAAGTTTCCTCAGCACAGTCTAACAACTGAAATAGGATACCTGTGGAGCTCAAGACCCATAACTTAGCTATGATTGTGTGTCTGCCGTTTGATCTGCATTTTGATTTGGTGTGCTGCCCAGCTGCTAGTCTCTACCCAATCAGAAGACATAGAAGATGCCCAAATTGTGAATAATGCTAAGAATTCTTATGGGATCAGGGAAAATTCCTGAGCAGTCCCTAGTACCAAGTGTATTGCTAGGTGGGAGATATCCACACCAATGGTCTAATTCTCTCCTTCATACACAGACCAATACACACTCACACACAGAGAGACAAGGATCTCAGCAAGGGGATCCCAACATCCGTGCCATCAACTGACGGACATTTCCTGGTTGCTCAGTCCCAGTGCTTGGTCCTTCAGTACGGAGTGAAGCGATTGCATCCTCCTCGGTATAAACTGGCCTGCAGGAAAGAGAGAAAGTGAGCAGGAAAAGTGAGAGCTGGCTTTGAAACACAACAGAGAGACCCCAACGCAATGGAAGCCACGGAATGCTTCAATGTAATTTCCAGGGAAGGACTTTTTTCCACCTGTAACTCAATCACAACCTATAGCACTTGAATTCTAAGGAGGAGGAAGTGGCAAAACTGAATTGATGAAAGAGGATATGGGCCCACAACTACCGCTCTCCCTGAGTTGAATAGGTTTAAATAAAAGGAAATATTCCTTTTGGGGGGGAAATTAATACCCTCTCTAATCTCTATTTTACTTTCCTTCTGCCTGTAAATGCCCACTTTTACTGTCATTCATCAGTGTAACACATGATTTCAGACCCAATTCAACATTGCTGTCACAGGAGTCAAGGCTGAAAGTTGTACTGACGGTTTTACTTTGTGCATTTCCCTATAAGGGAGATTTGGTTCTAAAATATTGAAAAGTATATTTTTCCCTAAAGATAATTCAGCAGGCAAATCAAGAACCAAATTTTGAATCCTACTACCTGTGCAATATGGAATAGTTGATGAAACAGAAACATTCTCAATGAGTAAGTGAACACTGCCATCTGCTAGCCATTTTGCAGTAATACAAACATGTCTCATTTGATAAAGGGAGGTTCTTACTGCCAGAATTTTCGTTGCTAAGCAAGGGGGTTTGTTTAGGAGTTGCATCTGATTTTACCCTTTCTGGAATGATTATTAAACAAGTCACTGCCATTCATAAGTGAACCGCATAATTGAGCCCAAAATTTATGTGGCTAAGTGAAACATCTGTGAAGTGAGTTTGCCCCACTTTATAACTTTTCTTGCCACAGTTGTTAAGTGAATCATTGCATTTGTTAAGTGAATAGCATGGCTGTTAAGTGAATTTGGCTTCCCCGTCGACTTTGCTTGTCAGAAGGTTGCAAAATCTGACCCCATGACACTACAATCATAGGGATGCCGCAATGGTCGTTAAGTGTGAAAAACTGCCATAAGTCAGTTTTCTCAATGCTGTGGTAACTTTGAAGGGTCACTAAATGAACTGTTGTAAGTTGAGGACTACCTATATATGCCAGTTGCCAACCTCCTGAACTTTGATAAGGGGTGCTGCAACTGATCATAAATAACTTTTTCCAGCACCATTTTAATTTCAAATAGTCTCTAAATTTCTTATTTATTTATTTAATTTATAATGCCACCTATTCACCCATAGCAACTCGAGGTAGCTTACACAATGTAAAACAATATTTAAAACTAAAAATAAAAAACATTAAAAACTAACAAAAAGAATCAGATAAATTAGTAAGATACAACTGAACAAAATTTTGGGGGAAAAAAAGGTCTCTAAATAATTGGTTGTAAACCGAGAACCATCTGTATTAAAATTTTAAAATTTCAAAAATTGCCCCATTTCCCACTCATAAAAACACACACTAAAAGCCTGAGGGAGATGGATAAAGAATCTTGCATCTGTGTGTTTTATATTTCACAGGAAAAAACTATCCATAAGTATAGTTTTATTCAATGAATCTGCACTCTTCAGATCTATGAATTCTAATTGACAATGGTTGACTATGCCTTTGATTAAACAACCTTTTACTGTTAGTTGTCCTTCGCTTTTGCCATTTAAGATTTGGCTACACCAAATGTAATTGATTCAGGAAGCACAGTTTCGTCTCTCGATGTGCAAATGTTTGCTTCTCCAACCAAGGAGGCATGCTGTTCATTTGCTTGGCATTTCTATGCCTAGGGTCTAAAGCAGTAGAGATGTTCTTGGCTTACAGTAGATTAAGGGTATCAAACTCAAGGCCCATGGGCCGAATCCAGCCCATGGGGTACTCTGATGTGGCCTGCGGGGCCACCCTGGAAACAGCAAAGGACCAGCCAGTGGTGCATCTGCCAGCGAAAAAAAGGAGCTTGGGAGGGCCATGTGTTTTCACTGGCAGAGTGCTCAGGCCACCACAGGTGTCCCCGACATGAATGACATCGAGCTGGCAATGCCTACCCTGGTCACACACACACACACAGGTCAAACTGATGCTCCCTGCAATAGATGATTGGACAGCATAATAATGAATCCTGCCCAGCTATCTTTTCAAGATGTAGCATGCTTGGCCCATTCACAAAGTGACTCACCATGGCACCAACTCCATAGGCAGGGGTTACTGCATGGTGGTAAGGCTCAGCAGTAGTGTAGACCCGTCCATACCTGCATCAGAGAAAACATCGGTAGTCAAAATGGAGGCCTGGGAATCTTAGGCTCAGGGACCAGATATTGCCCAACAGGCTTCCTCACTGGGGTAATCAACTTCTTCTCCTAGGAAAAGAAGGACGTTAAAACGAGGGAAAAGATTTTATTCATCAATCAGCAGCCTGGCAACTTTGTGAGGTTGTCTGTGGAAAGGACAGTGCTAATAATTCCCATACCCTTTAAAAATCCTTTCCCTTGCAGTAGCTTTTAAAACAAAAATCAAAGAACGACTCAGTTAATATTGTTAATTCAAGCCTCTACATACCCATCGCTGTATGCTGCTGCTGTGGCTGTGGCTGCTGCAGCTGCTGGTGTCTGGGCCATTCTGTATGCTGCAGGATAACCCTAAAATTAAAACAGCAGCTAAAATAAAAATTATCCCAGCAATCTAAACACATTCCGTCATCCCCCAACTCCTACCACCACCACAGTGCATCAATTTCATGAGGAAAAGCAGGGCTTTATCCACATATCTTGTTGTACAGTTCCAATTTATCACCCCCTAGTGGTAAATAATAGTATTTTGAGTACTTGGCAACCGGCCTGCATTTATGGCCATTTGTAGTGTTCCAGTCATGTGACTGCGATTTACAACTGATTTGGTGGAAACTGGTGTTTATTTCTGGTTTCTGGCAAAAAAATAAACCCCAACTATTGCAGAGAATTAATTCGCTCAACAATTGCGGCATTCACTTAACAACAGCAATATTCACTTATGACCAGCGATTTGCTTAAAGACATGGTTTGCTTAAGGACATGGCTTAACAACTAGCATGAGTAACAACTATAATTCCAGGCTCAATTACGATCGTAAATCAGGGACTACCTGTAGTTTGGTCTAACTCCCTTTCTAGACTTCGGTTATTCAACAGATTAATTAAAATGGGACTGGGTTGCTTGTGATGCGGCAGAAAACTCTATTTTCAAAACAAGGATTCCAAGCATAAAACAAAACCCAGTGTTTCAAGAGTTCTGTTCAATTTTAGATCAAGATTGAAATAAAAACTAGCTGTGTTGGAGAGCTTTGCTTGAGCATTCCAACAATTCTGAATACCTCATCCAGAAAATTGTTCTGTGGTTTGGGACTGGGATGGGTTTTTTTTTTTGGTTTTTTTTTTTTTTGGGGGGGGGGGGAGAATCCAGTAGAGAGATAGGGATCATTCATGTTGTTGTTGCTATTGGTTTAGATTAGATTTGAGTAATGCGATAGTGAAACAGACCTAGCAAATTGTTGCTTTAAAAAAGAATAAAGCAATAAGGTGTCTAGAGGGATACACTGCCTGTGCTGTTGCTTTATTTTGCAATAGACAATACAAAGCTACGTGCATCACATATATTATTGTTACTCCTGCTAAAATTCTATAAATGTAAAGACTGTGACTGCAATGTTGGTTTGGTTGATTTTTTAAGATCTGGCATGAACGTTTCTGCCATTGTACTCTCTTAATATTTAGCTTCAGAGTGCATTTAAAATGTGAAAGCTGTGGTTGGTTTGAAGTTTGTTGAGCTTTGGTATGCATATCCATTTCATGATGATTCCTGTCTTTTATTTTGTAACATTGAGTAGACAGAAAAAAGAACCATTAGCAGGAAAAAGAGCATTGAAGAGCACTAAAGTGATTAGCTGTTTTCTTAGTCTTGCAATCTGTTGGATGAATAACCTAGAAAGTTTACAGAGCCCACAGTCTCTTCTCCCTGCTGAGAAGGAAGATAACTTGGCCAGTTTTTCTTAATGCGCTTAGCAGGTTGCATGACTCCTTTCAATGTCTACTCAATATCATGAGCGCAAGACACATCAGAATAGGTCATGGCTTCTTTTATACAGAAGGGATACCAACATTTTAACTCTGCACTGAAGCATAAACTAGAAAGTGAAGAATACGCATGATGGCGGCATACAAAAAATCCTTTTGGTCTCAGTGCCCTGAAGATCAGGAATCTTATCCCTGCAAAAGGATCGTGAATCCTACTTGCTCCTTTTCTGCTTTGGGACTGTTGGTGCTGGGCAACCATCCTTTGGATTCTAATTTCCAGAAATACCCAGAGGAGGACTTACGTAGAGATCAGAACTGTATAGACCATCTGGATACAGCACGCTGGGTGAAAAAAGAAATATCAGTATGCAGCAGTAAATATCTTTCCCTTCAATCCCATCCCTTTCAAATTCAAGTTATTCGTCCTAAAAAGCTGCTTTTTATTATGTTATATAAAATATGAGGACCAAACCATGACCTTGGGCACATGCACAGTACCCTTCCCTGACTATTTAACAACCAGAAAGAAGAATTGTGTATCTGACATGGAAGATCACACCAAGTCTTCATAGCAGTTGAATCCAGTTTTGATATCCGAATAATAGCTGAATCAGGTTTCAAGTGTTGCAGCCAGATAGTCATTGAAAAAAAAATGAAGAAAAAAGCAAGAATATATGATGTCTTCACTACACTCCAGTAAATGAGACATAACGTAGAACTGTAGGGCTGGAAAGGATCTTGGAAGTTTTCTAGTCCAGCCCAGAGAAGTCATTTCTGAAAACTTCATTTACTTACATACTGACTTGAGTTTACTAGAGAACAAAATTCCCCAATCCCAACCTCCTCCAGAGATGATTGGACTATAACTTCCTGGCATTCCTTAGTCATCAGACCTAACAATGGTAGAAGGGGGTGGGTGGGTGGTGAAAATAATTTTTTTAAAACCATTACTTCATTTTGGAACTTCTGGGAATATATTATTACAACCTTGCAGCTAGGTTACTACAGTAGTATTTCTTTTCCTTCCCTTTTTATCATTTCTTTTACTCCAAATATCATCTTTCCATTCTCACAGGCCAAAATTTGCCATTCTGCTGTATATTAAAATATTTCTCCCCAAATATTACTCTCCTTCCCTATCTAACTTGTTCGTTTGCTTGTTTCCTTTCTACTCCCCCACCCACCCAATCGTTGTGCCCGATTTAAAAAATGATTTATAAGAGCTTCAAGCAACACAAACACCGCATTTCTTTGCCATTCGGTAAAAACCACATCTTTCAAGCTTTTGTATGAGACTGGAAAAAGATGCAGCTGCTTTGAAGGGTGCTTTAATGGCTCTGAGAAGAAGAGCTGAAATAGGATGGAAGGGAACTCAAATCCAAAATAAAAATGTTCCTTCACTTCAATTTATTTTGCTTGAACTACACTTTTAAGGTGTCTTGTTGTAACCTCTTCAACTTTGCTTCTTCCAAATGATATGTTTGGCCCTATCATCCAATATATTGGCTCTACAGGGCTTCTGGTTTATTTATTTGATTTTTATTTATTTGTCAAATTTAGATACCATCCATTTTACTCATAGAGTGATTGGGCAATGGGAAGATGCTTTAAGTAGGCATTATTATAGTGCCCTATAAGCCAAGGGTCTCCAATCTTGGCAACTTTAAGCCTGGTGGACTTCAACTCCCAGAATTCTGCTGGCTGGGGAATTCTGGGAGTTGAAGTCCTCCACGCTTGAAGTTGCCAAGGTTGGAGACCCCTGCTATAAGCCATCATGAGTTCCTCTCTGCCAATGCTCACCTGCCATAGGCTGGAACTGGAGTAGGGGCAGGTGCTGCTCGAATGGGATTATAGATAGTGGCTCGGCCACGCCCTCGCAGAGTTCCACGGTAGGCCAGAGCAGCAGGTGCCATCATGGGATAAGGGATGCTTGCCACTGAATTGGATAAGCAATAAAGCAGAAACAGTGAGAGAAGATACACATTCCATTACATGAGAGAGGCAGACTTGGAACAGAAGTAGAGCTGAGCAGGACAAAGAAAGGGATTGTTTTCTGCTCCAAAACTTTTACCACTGGAAGGGGCAGAACAGTTTACAAAGGATGATTCTAAGAAAGCAACCAAAATTAAGTGTGCTTAATATTTCAACTTGGGGTGAAATGCTAGCTTAATAATCCTAAAAATTTGAGTGGGATGGTCTCCACTTATAACACACTGGGAAGATAGATCTACATCTGATTTCCAGTAACAGATTGCCGATAGTATGTTTTCTGTCAAAATTTCAATTTTTGTTTTTGTTTTTTAAACGGGATAATGAGGAAAACTTCTAGCATTTGATAAGATTATGGCAACGTTTTTCCCTTAAAAAAAAAAAATCTCTCTGTATCTCTGTGTGTGTGTATATATGTATATACATAGGTATATATGTATGTGTGTGTGTGCGTGCGCGTGTGTGTGTGTGTGTGTGTGTGTGTGTATATATGTATATATGTATATGAATATATATTCATATTCTGAGGTTCTCGCGGGTATTTGTATGTAAAATTGGAAGTATCTAGGCAACGTTTCGATGAAGTCTCATTCATCATCTTTAGGCTTGTGTCTTCGGCTCTGTGCCTCTCAGAGCTTCTTCGGCTCTGTGCTTCTCAGCTCTGTATATGTATATGTGTGTGTGTGTATATATATATATATATATTTGTATATGTATGTATGTATGTGTATATGTATGTATGTATGTATGTATGTATGTATGTATGTATGTATGTATGTGTATATATATATATTCTTAAGTTTTCTCTGGTACTTACATGTACGGCATTCAGCTTTGTTCGGGTATTTTCCCACGTCATTGTAGTGGTGCTTTTAAAGTTGTAGCAACGTTTTGGCAGAATCTCATCTGCCATCATCAGGCTTCTGTATAATGTTCATCTTCATACAGAAGACTGATGATGGCAGATGAGATTCTGCCAAAACG